GCCACAACACCTGCATACCTACCCTGTTACCTCGGGCTGTTGTGCTCTCACAAACCCTATCCTTCAAGCACAAAGAGCTCTGTTTTAAACATTGCTGGGGTCTAGAAATATCTTTATACCCATTCGTTGAAAACCAAGCTGAAAAAGAAGTGGTACAGAAGGCCATACACAGCCTCTTGTATAGAAGGCTCAAGAAGCACAGGGATGCAGAGCTTCACTACCAGGGAACCTGCACCTGCAGGACTCGAGTGTGTGGGTGATGCAGAGGTGACAAATGGAGGATGCTTTCCTCTCCCACCACGGCAGCTGTCTCCCCAGGTACAGAAAACCCTTGACTGGCACCAAGGTGGCAGCCCCTCTTACCCAGTGAGATGCCTGGCTAATTCCCACAAACACAGCAAGTGCTCTGCAGCTGTGGTGGCCATGAGGCATGCCTTGCACACTGCAAGGGCCGAGAGAAGATGCACAGAAAGTCTATGTTCTGAAAGGCTCAAAGGTTCCTCACCACACAGAGATTAAGAAAGGAATGCATCCAAAGATCGCTGTAAATCTCAGCTTAAGTTTTTCTGAGAGATTCAAGCTCTCCTCTGCTAAGCCTTGGCTATGGCCAGAACAGGTCACCCTCCCAGGCAGCCTGAAGGGCAGCACATGAGACACTGGCAACAGCCTGTGACATCCATCTCTGCTCATCTAGCTCCTGGAATCCTGCCCGCTTGTGTGCAGGGCTACAGAGCACATGCTCAGTTTTATTCCTTTAAATGACTGTAACAAGGATGTGACAAGCAGCTCAAAAAGCCACTCAGGAGTCCCTGGAAAGCCTGGCAGTTCCTCTCATTTCATAGTAGGAGTTGTTTCCTAACAGTGAAACTCCATTGCACAGACACCAGCCATTTCTAAGCAGCATTCCTACAGCTGCAAGCACAGGCAAGGGGAGGTGTGGGCAGCAGGGCACCATCTGGCCCAGGGTGCTGCTGGTACCAGGTCTGCTGAAGCCAGCACAAAGCAGCTCTGAGCACAGCAAGAGAGCTGGGGTCTGCCCCACTGTGGTGCCCCTGGGTCAGTCTTTCCCTGCCTGCATTACCTGCCATGCACACCTCCTCCCGGCAGCAGCGTAGGGCGGCTCTCCTCCTCCTGCACCCAGCCACAGTTGGACATGGCATAGTGCAGGATGGCTTCTGTCACTGTCTGTGAGCCTTGGCCTTGCACGCATGCCTCTATCTCAGGCACGGAGAGCTGGCTCTGCAGGAAGAGGTGCAGCCGGCTGTCGGAGAGGAGGACAACATTCTGCACAACCCTGCGAAAAGAGAAGGGGGTGAGGCAAGTCTGCAGGAGCACAGAGCACTCTAAGTCCTGCCCAGACAGCTCACACTGCCAGGCTGACCCCACCAGCAGATCCACTGCCTCCTCACAAACAGCATCTTCTAAGTGCTGCATCCTTCTTCTCATGCCCTGCCAGAGGTGCGTGCAGGAGCTTCACTCACTTTTCCAGGAACTGCTGCAGCCCCTGCCTCCTCTTCTCAATGAATTCATCTGTGCTCCCCACAAAGAAGGTGGATTTTCCAGGCAGCTCTGGGACAGGCCTGCAGGAAGAGAGCAGAGGCAGCAGCTCAGGGTCAGACTGTCCCAGCACTGGAGCAAGAAGATGTGGGGCAGCATGGTAGCAGCAGCTGGCACCCTGCTTTGTGCAGAGCTGGATCTTATGAGTGCCAGTATCCCACATCTATGTCTGGAGAAAGCCACCCCTCTGCTTTTCTTTATCCACATCTGCTCCGAGAGCACAGAAGATACCCAGAGCAATGGAACTGTGGTGTCTGGCTGCAGGTGGGTGAAAGCAGGGAGCTCAGGGCATGCTTACACCAAGCCAGCATTCTTCTGGAGCTGCCGCCTCAGCCACACGAATTCACGGTACCGGCGCCGCACACATGAGGTCTTGGCTGTAAAAGCCTTGCTGTTGGTCTGCAAAAAAAAAACAAAAAACCACAGACATAATCCTCCCAACTGAGGGGCAACGAGGCAGGTGAGCTCTGCTGTTTCCCAACAGCCACAACTTACGTGGAGGAAGATTTTATAATCCACATAGGAGTTCCAGGAGCCTTCGTTCTGCACCCGAGGGTCCTGGACGCGCACTGTGGTCAGCTCCTGGGACACAAACATTGCCTGAGCACAGGGCAGAAATCCCAGTCTCATCCCCATCCACCCCCCCAGCTCTGCCTCCTGCCCAATGTTCAGCACCTCTCAATGCAGCACTCAGGACTCCAGCATTGCCAAACCCCAGCCAGGAACAGATAAAACCACATCAGGAGGCATCTTACCTCCTCTCGGCTCTCCAACATCCTAGAACCAGAGCTCAGAAGGAAACATCTGCACAGAGGAAAAAGGATTTGGTAAGAAGAGAGGGAGCACTCAGACAATCAGGATTCCCCACATTCTCCCCACGCCCCCAGGAAGTTCACGGTTTCTGTCTCACCCAGCAGCACCTCTCCAGCCCCCTGTCCTAGCACAGTTGATCCTATCCAGTAAGCCACCATGAAACAAAGAGGATGCATTCAACTCCAGCAGCCCCCAGGGCAGAGAGCAAAGCAGCATGAACCTCCCATGTGCCCCACATGGGCCACACAGCCCATCAGGCTCCTGCTGGGGGATGCTGGAGGCTGCTCCATGACCAGAACTGAGACATGCAGGATCTCTTTTCCTTGTAGCTCCATAGGAGAAAAGGATGGAAGAGCCCAGCCCCTCCCCACACTGCAAGGGCAGTTCTGCACTGAAACACTCAGTGCAGCTTGTTCAGGTGGTAAGGAAAGAACCCCGCTTTGATCACAGCTTCCTCCTCTCACCAGCCTCCCCCTGCTGCCTGCCCAGCACAAGCAAAGCAGCCACCCCCCAGCCAGCATCCTCCTGCTGCCAGATGAGCCTGCTCCTCTCCCTGAGATCAGCCCAGCTCCTGCTGCTGCCCCAGCACGTCTCCCATTAGCACCAGACACAGACAACGCCGCTCCTCTCAGCTCTTTCACAATTCAACTGAATAAGCAGCAAACTCCAGACCACGATTTCCCCCTCTGGTTAGATGTCATGCCTGCATTGCAACCTCTCGCCCTCACTGCCCTCCCTGCTCTCACCCTCTCCAGCACCCCACGGTGCCCTCATCTCTCCCACTGAGTTTTGCCATGAGCTGCTGCTTCCTCCACCACATCCCTCGGGCACTGCTGGGCCCCCAGCTGATTTGCTGCCCTACTGCATTCTCCTGCAGTAATCCCTGTTTTGCAATGATAGCACAGACACGGTGCCAACGCTGCGAGGAAGAGAGAGGACAGACAGTCCCCAACACCCCATAACGGCACAGACCAACCCATCCAAGCATCCCTTCCTGGTCTGGACCACACAGAGCAGGAGAGCTCGTCAGGGGGAGCTGGCAGACCAAACGTGTCCTGGTTTCACCTTTCTGGTTTGTTGTGCAAGGCATTCGGAGCCCCTGGGATGAACCTGAGGCTCAGGACACAGCCCTGGCTCCTGAGGGACGCGGAACAGAGAGGCACAGCAACCCTTCACCTGTTCCCAGTTCCTGGAGCTTTGCCTTTTAGGCCATGGGAGCTGCCAAGTGCTGGGTAGCATTGCGAGCTCAGCCTTTATTTATCCGCTCGGTTGTGAAGCAAAGCTCTTCTGAAGGCTGAGCTAATTTTAGCCAGGACAAGGGGAGGGGTGAGCCACGATCCACGCTTCAAAAATCTGGCTCCGCCGGTTTGCAAGATCTCACTCATCTGATCCAATGCAGAGAGCACAGAAGGTGTGAATGGACAGCAGAAAAGAGCTGAGGGCACAGTGCAGGAGCTCCAGGCCCAGTGCAGGCAGCTCTGGGGTATCTCACAGTGACAGCTCTCACTGGGGCTGGGTCAGGCTGCTGCTGCTGCTGCTGCTACTGCTGTTTCCAATTTGAGCTGTAAGGGGGAGGGTGAGGGGAACCTACCAAAAAAACCCCACCATATTTCAGTGCGTGCACTCCTCCCCCTGGGAACCGAGGGCAGAAAAGGTGCCAAATGTGCTACCAGTCACCCTGCCGGGCTCAGCAATGGGCGCTCAGCTCTCCCAGGCAGCTGTGATCCCACTGCTTCCAGGGCAAAAACACAACGGGGAGAGGAGAAGAGAGAAAAAAACAGCCCTCACGGAATAGCAGAGAGCTGCCACAAAGAGGGGCTGGGTCGCTCTGCTATGGGAGATTGGAGACCGCAGAGGACAGCTGGGGGCCGCTGCTCCATGGGGTGGGACGGGGCTGCCTTGGGAGGGGTCCCTGCAGCCCCACAGGGCCCAGTGCTGCCCGTGGGCAGAGCAGCACCGAGCACAGCCCCAGGCCGGCATAACACGAGGCCGCTGCCGCTCGGTCCCATGTGGGAACGCACGCGTGTCTCACGGCCGCACTTTCACATCGAATAATCTCATTTAAGCTCGGTTCAGAGTTAATTGGGCTCCACTCGATAAACCAAAGGGAGAAAGGCAGCTTCGGGGGGCAGCTTTAAGCAACTGTGCCCAATCCTCTTTCGGGGCTTTTGCTTACGATCCGAATTAAGGGCTCTCGAGGGGAGCCGCTGTGACCCCCACTGCACCCCGGGGGTCGCGATCCGGGGCTGGGGGGCACCAGCACGAACTGGGAACCCGGAGGCCTCACCCTCTCAAGGCCTCAGTCCCAAAAACAAGCCACACAACCTCCCCCCCACCGCGCCGGGCTCCCCATACAGAGCTCAATGTCCCACAGTGATGCCCAGATCCGCCCCCTCCCTCTTTCAGGACCCCCCCTCACCTCCTCACGCAGGACGCGGCCCCTTTAAACAGCACAGCGGCGCGGCGGCCTTATACCGCGAGCGGCACTTCCTCTTCCTGCCGGCGCGGTGCATGTTGGGAGCTGTAGTTCACGCCGACGTCAGCGACGCGCCTACACCTCCCACGATGCCCCGCGGCAACTCACGCATCTAACTGCGGCGGACTTCATCTCCCATAGTGCACCGCGGTGGGTGCGGGTCGCGGCGCATGCGCGGAGCGGCGCGGCGGGCACTGGGGCTGGCCGGGCTCTTTTGTTCGACGGAGGCAGACGGAGCGCGCCAGGCCCGCGGCGCCGGCCCCTGCCCGCCCGTAGGCCGCTTCCCTTCGGAACCGTTGGCGGGGCTGTGCAAGGTGCGCGGGGTTGGGCCGCCGGTTACCGTTTGGGGTGAGGTGGTTGCGGTGGTGGTGGGGGGGGAACCGAGCGAGGCGGGGCCGCGAAGGGACAAAGCGGGGCCTGAACGGAACGGAGCGGGGTGGGCGGCAACGGGTGTGGAGATGGGGGGGGCGGTGTGGAGGAGCCGCGTTCGGAGCGGGGGGGGTTGGAGGGCAGAGCTGTGGGGCCGGCGGGGGTTCGTGCCCACGTAGGAGGGCGAGGAGGTGGACCCGGACCCGGACCCGCTGTGGTTGTTTGCGTGAAGCTGAGAGAACGAAAAGCGGCGGGGTTTTGTGGCGGGAAGCGGCGCCTCCCGGAGCATTCGGGCACTGCGAGGCTCCTGTGCTGCTGTAAGGGACGGGCGGCGGGTTGGGGTGGGAATTGAGGCGGTGTTCGCTGTGAGCACCTGGGATCCGTGCGGTGATCGTTAAGGTTGGAAAAGAGCCGTCAGGTCCCAGCCCCGCTGCTGAGCGCGGCCATCGGTGCCACATCCCCGCCGTGCTGCAGCTGCTCCAGGCGTGGGGACGCTCCCACCTCCGTGGGCTGTCTGTGCCTCGCTGCTTTTGCTGAGAAGAAGTTGTTCCTGGTACCCAACGGCAGCCTGAAGCCATCAGCTCCCATCCTAAAACAGGAGATATCGCGGTGATGCTTCCCTCCCTTTGCACAAAAGGGAGAGGAGGAACGCGGCCCTGTGTTCCCACCCTCAGCTTTTGGCCCCTAGGGTTCTGTCTGCCTTTGCCAACCAAACCCTGTCTATGGGATGGGGTTTGTAGCTCGAATTCCCTTACAATATCTGCTGTGTGTGTTTTTCTCTTAAATCCAGAGATACGTTCTGTCCTGGATTGTGAACTTAACTGGAAATGATGTGGCCGAGCTCAAAGGCTGTGGCTTTCTTTTAGTTTGATCTCTGCTCGAAGCCTTGAGCTTTGACTCAAACTTTCCAGAGGTGTTTTCTGCCGTGTTCAGGTTCTGGAGTGTGAAAGGTTTCGTGTGCTGCTTCCCACTTCATCAGAACAGTGCCTGCTGCCTTCCCCTGGCACATGCAGAATAAACTTGGAGTGTTTGTAAGTCCTTACAGAGACGAGAGATCCCAGCCAAGTTTGAGAAAGGCAGAACGGAGGAAATGTTTAAAGCTTAGAACTCATTAAAGCGAAGCTGAACTGTTCATCCTTTAAGGTGCAGCTAATGGAACCGGGCTGCATTCAGACCCAACCTCTGGGTCTCCACATTTTTTTTTCTTGGCTCTCCTTTTGTTAAGCTTCCTACTGAAAAGATGAGCACGAGGCATGCTGGAAGGGCAGCAGCTCTCCCTCAGCAGCGTCTCAGCATCAGTTCCATTCCTCACTGCCCCAAGAAGTGCAGTGAGCAGAGCTTTGTGCTGATCCATGCTGTCAGCCACGCTCTCGTTCCTCTGCCTGCTATTCCTGTCCCTATAAAGCAGGCTTTTGTGCACACCTTCATGCTGGGCCTCTTTTTTCCTGCCCTTTTACTGGGCTTTGAATTCTTTTCAAGTGCCTTAGGTGTGTCGGATGCTTTTCCTATTAGCTTCAGACCACGGAGTCATTCTTTCAATCTTTCACTGCTCTGCTTTCCTTTTCACAAAGGATTTCAGCCTTGCCTTAAGCGTTAGGTAAGAAGCAGCAAATGAAAACAGGAGGACTTAGTGCAGGATTTCTAGGCTCAGGATGGTCCTGTTTTTCAGTGTAAACCAACTTCTTCACACCTTAAGTGAAGGAAAATTGAAGTTGAACATAGGAAACGTTTGCTACTTAATGAGGCCTTTCTTGGGGCAGGACAATTCAGCCCCAAATCCTATAGACATGAGCGATGTTCTCACGATTGTTGTCTGTTACCTCTCCTGTGTTCCCCTCCAAGCACAACTAAGCAGTGCTCTGTGTGGCTGTGGTTTGTCTTGAATCAAGAAAACGGGCAGGGTTTGAAATGCCCTCATGCAAAGGCTGCAATCTTTGCCGAATCCCTTTGTCGTGCTCCAGCCTCCCTGACTGCAGTGCAGTGAAAGGCCTGCACAGCAGCTCGCCTCTGCAACGCCAGGCTCTGCAGCAGCTGCTGTGCTGGGGCTCAGCATTGCCTGCCTGCTGCAGGCTGCAGATGTGCTGCGCTGCGTGGAGCCCCGGAGCCACCAGGCCCCCTGGGCTCTGCTCCTGGCCTGCTTTTTCTGCAAGTGCTTCTGGCCTCGTGTCTGCATCTTCTCTGCCTTTCCTATAATACCATGATGGAGCTGTGGCATAGCATCGTTTGCACTGCTCTGTGGCTTTCCTCCTTTTTCCATTTCTGCCTGTCTCACTCCCAGATCTGGTTCCGCTGCCTCTACAGACTTTGGTCCAGGGAACCACTTGGCTCCTTAATACAGCATCCCAAGGTCCTTACAAAATGAGGAAACAACTGCAGTGTTTGTGGCTGAGATTCCTTTGGCTGCAGCTGAGCACAAGTCCCTGCTGGGAGCAGGGAACCCCAGGATCTCACCCCTGCGGGCCCTTTTCTCCACATACAGGTTGTGCCTCAGTGCATGGAGGATCCTCCTCCCCGCGGGGGCGAAGGGGAGGAAGGAGCTGCCAGAGGAATTCCAGAGTGAAACTCGAGCCTGGCTTCCTGCAGGCGCTGGCAGCTTCGCCTTGTTGCATTGCACAGCCTTGGGCTCGCCTCCACCCAGCGTCCAGTCAATGCCCAGTGAATATCTGGCTCTGCCTTAGCCTGGGAGCAGGGCAGGGAAAAGCTTTTCTGCTACATGATGTTGTACAGCTTCGTTTCAGCAAGCTGTTCCCAACTTTTACTCCTCCCCTCCCCCAGGAATGGGGCAGGAAATCTGTATCCCTGGGGGTTGGGTGTGCTGTGGTATTTAATAAAGGAGCCCTGTGGTAGCTGTGCCCCTGCAGTGGGAATGTCCCTGTCACTGCTCCAGCTGCTGGGCTTTACAGGCTGGGGAGCTTCTCATGGCTTCACACAGCACTCAGAGCAGGCTTCATCTCTTATGATGGATGTTGCAGCTCTGTAACACAGCAGAGCAAGCTCTTCCCTTGTTTCTATCTCCAGCCTGCTCTGGTGCTCACCCCTCTCTGAAACCACCAGGTAAGCACAAAGCAGCAGAGCCCTGTGCTGAAGGAGAGCTGTTGTTCTGCCTGGCCCACCAGCAGCTCGGTGCCCATCCTCTGCACAGTGTGTGCTCCGAGCAGCAGCACAGCAGCAAGGTCCAAAATCCAACCATTTGAGTGCAGTGCGTGCCAAACGGAGAAGTGCTGCTTTCTCTCTCTGTGCTTTTCCATGCTCCTTGGCTGCCCTTAGGGCCTGTCTGTGAGACAGCAGCACAGACAGGGTGGTCTGGAGCATGCGGCCTCGGCTGTGTCCCTCCTGTCCTCTCTGTTTGGGCTTCTGGTATGAACTAGTCGTTCATATTCTGGGCTTTGTGGGCCTCCTTTTTGAGCCTTTTCCTTTGAATGGAGCTCTAATGGCAGCTGCTCAACTCAGCAACATCTTGTACAAAGGGAACTTGCTCAGCTGAGAGCTGAGATTGTTCTTAACTCTGACATCTTCTGTTAGTGTAAATCTGCAGGATTCTTGTTTTGCTCTATAACCTAACTAGCATAGATTTTTGTCAGCTGAAATGTGTTGTATAACGTTCACCTGAGCAGCAAAAATGAAGTCTTTGGGCTGGTAACGTTTGACCAGCTCGCCAGTCATCTTGCTTGGCAGAAAATGTATTTCTTACTGGAACAAAGCAGTTAGGCCAGGAAGGCTCTGGGCAGCTGTTCAGCAAGGTGGGTGGGTGACAATCACTCCTCCTGGGATGCAGAGCCAGGACCAGGAGGTTCAGTCCTGGTGACAGAGCAGTGACAGTGACTCGGTGTTGGTGACATCGGGTGGGAATGCTCACCACCTCCTGACCCTTAGGGCAGTCTAAATCAGGGCAGTCTTTGAACCTAAGGACAGCACTCCCATATTCCTTTGTACAGAGAATGGCCTTGTTTGGGTCAGAGCATCCTGCAAACCCTGCTGTGTGTTTCAGATGCTTCCCACAAGCTCTGGGCTTGTGGCTCTGTGGCTGTTCCTATGCCCTGGAGATAAGGAGAAGAAAAATTTTGGAGCTGGATGAGTATCCTAGAGTGCACATACATGAAAACACCAAAGAAAAGAACGTGGGGAGCTCAGGATCAGGGACTGTGACTTTTGTTTAGCTTGGATTAACTGTTTATTAACTTTAAATTAATGTCAGCAGTGTGCTTTCTCCCTCCCGCTGCTGTGTGAATTTGCAAATGGTTTCCACAGCTCAGGACAGGGTAGAGCTGAGATGAGTGGAAGGGCTTTTTGTGTGTTTCCTGCTTTGTAAGTGCCTGTTTCCTCTGAAACAGCCTTCTGTGCTGGGTACACAGAGGCAAAGCTGGGTACTGTGTATACTTTTACTGCCTTGCAAAGGCAAACCTGACCTTAACACACACGTGTGATTTTCTTTCCCCTTTCAGCAGCGTCGCCCGTAAGCTGAAAAACTGGCCAGCACAATGGGAAAAAAACAGAACAAGAAGAAAGTAGAAGAGGTCTTAGAGGAAGAAGAGGAGGAGTATGTGGTGGAGAAGGTCCTGGATCGACGAGTGGTGAAGGGCAAAGTGGAATATCTGCTGAAATGGAAAGGCTTCTCCGAGTAAGTAAGCAAGAGGGAGACTGACTTTTTACACGTTCTGATAATGATGGGTTGAAGGGGAATGGCTTTAATCTAAAAGAGGGGAGTCTTAGGTCAGATGTGAGACAGAAATTATTTACTCAAAGGGCCTCTCCTTGTCTGCAAAACGTGGCTAAGAGGCTCAGGGTGAGTGTAATGATGGAGAAGGTGGTACTGAATGTCACCAGCTCTAATTGGAGCACTGTGAGCGTAGCCTAGGTGAGAAAGTCCTGCTTCTGTCTCACAGATTAACTGTGCAGTGCCATGGTGATATAGGGGGACTTCCTTTGCTTTAACAGAGTGTGAAGCAAGCAGACAGGTGAAATGAACTGCTTTTCTTTCCTGGAAACAGAAATAACTCTGCCCTGGCCTCTTGCATCACTGCCCTTATCTGTTTCGTGGGGTGAAGGCACAGAATCCTGCTGCTTCTCTCAGCATCTCCACTTGATCTGGTGTCAGGACTTTGTGTCTGTCTCTGTCGGTAAATTAAACTGCTGGTTTTCATTCCAGTGAAGATAACACATGGGAGCCAGAGGAGAACCTCGACTGCCCAGACCTCATTGCAGAGTTCCTTCAGTCCCAGAAAACTGCACACGAGAGTGAGAAGTCTGAGGGAAGCAAACGCAAAGCAGAGTCTGACACGGAGGACAAAGGGGAGGAGAGCAAACCAAAGAAGAAGAAGGAGGAGGTGAGGCAGCGTTGGCTTTCTGTACTCACCTCCCTAGCTCTGCATTTGGCACAGTGTCCAGCAACTGGAGTAGCCATGCTCTGAAACCTGAGTCAAATGGTTCTGCACAGAGGGGAGACTATTCCAGATCAGTGAGGCACAGCTGGAGTGCTTTTGAAAAGCTGCGGCTTTTCAGAAGGAGGCATGAGCTGCTCTCTGAGCCAGGCCTCTGTGAGAATCTGGAGCAGGTTCTAGTACTAAACTGAAAGGCAGTCTTTGAACCTAAATAATGTGGAGCCACAGCTTCTCTCGACCAGCCACAAGGGGTAAAATGGGCTGCAGGGGTTACCTGCTGCCTCCAAGAGAAGGAGCAGGGCAGAGCAGGGAGCCTCTCTCTCAGGATGCTCGTAGCAGCTTGGGAAGAAGGATGAGAAAGAGGCTCTGCAGTCTGTTTTGCATCCTGGGAGCTGCTGAATCTCGGCCAGCACAAAAGTTTGAGCAGCTGTGCCTTGGAAATCAGATCCTCTGCTTGTGGCTTTGGACTGCCCTGGGGCCCCCAGATCCGCTCTGTGCCATGGGTACACACCTGAGCTGTCTGCTTAGTGCCTGCTGGCCTCAGTCGTTGCAGTCCAAGCATCTGATGCACTGAGCCTTTCTGAGCAGCCCTCAGTGTGTCTGTGTGGCCTGCAGCAGGGGTGTGACCATCACCCTTCGATGCTACAAGTGGAAACTTGTCTCTTGCAGTCGGAGAAACCACGAGGCTTTGCCCGGGGCTTTGAGCCGGAACGGATCATCGGTGCCACAGATTCCAGCGGGGAGCTCATGTTCCTGATGAAGTGGTGAGTGTGTCTTTGTGTCTGTCATTTCTTCACTTATTCTGTGCCAGAGAGGGAAGGACCTGCACCTGGGGAGTCCCTGCTACCTGGCACGAAATCTCTCACGATGGCGCTGCTGCCTGAGGTGACCCTCTGCGCTGAGGCTAACGTGGATGTGAAAGAAGCAGGTAGGGCCCTTGGGATTGCGTGGCTCTTAAGATGCCCCCTGCAGCAGGCGCGAGCTTGGGGAGAGAGAGGGGTGTGATGTCGTGGCATGGGCCACAGCTTCAGAAGGCCACACCCCAAGGAGAGCCGTGACCACGTCCCTTTCAGCTCTAGTGAAACAGGGCTTGTCTCTGGTGCAGCTGGGAGCCAAACCAGGCAGGTGAAGGTGCAGGAACCACTTGCTCTTGCACTGTCTCAGAAGTACGGAGTAGCTGGGGAAGGGCTGCAGCTTTGATTTGGCTGCTGTCCCCATGCCTGACAACACACGCCTGCTTTTGAGGACTCACGTGCTGCTTCTCTCTGCACCAGAGCCACTCAGGAAGGGCTTGCTTGGATTCCCTGGGTGGCCTGAGGACTCCTCAGTTTTCCAACTGCTTGATTCTCTCCAGTTCTTCCACCTCCTTCTGCAGCCCCCTAACTCGATCCTCTGCTCTGGCCTGTAGGAAGAACTCTGATGAGGCCGACCTGGTCCCCGCCAAGGAAGCCAACATCAAGTGCCCCCAGGTGGTCATCTCGTTCTATGAGGAGAGGTTGACATGGCATTCCTACCCCTCAGAGGACGATGACAAGAAAGAGGACAAGAACTAAACCCCGGCACCCGCCCTGGCCAGCCTTTGTATAAAGATCTGAACTGTGGGTTTGAGCAAGAGGGGGAGAACGCAGCTCTGCTCAGTCGGGAGCGTAGAGATGGCTGGAGAAGATGCCCTTTGAAGAGACCAGTATGGTTTCTGTGCCCTGCAGCTGCTCCGCTGCTTTATGCAGCTTCATGCTGTGTACAGATTCAAACCAGCCCGGCTCACTGGGGGAGGGAAGGGTGGGGGGTCTGGGGAGGGGGGGGGCCATGGGATTTCCAGGCTGTCCGTTTGGCAGCTTGTGGGAGAGGAAGCAAAGCCCCTTCCATGAAGGACTGTCACTGGTGATGGGTGGGCTGGGAAAAAGGAGTGCAGATGGATACTGCTCATTCTTCAAAGACCATCTCAGCAACCCACAGCCTTCTTCCCAATAGTGTTAACTCTGCATTTTTACGGCGTAGCATGTGTGTAGTTTTGTTTTTGTTTTGTTTTTTTTTTTTTCTGTTGTTGGTTTTATTTTTGTTTCGTTTTGTTTTTTTTCTTTTGCTATTACTGGTGTATCGGTCTGGGGGTATGGGGGGAGGGATGTGGGGAAATTGGTCTCTTGTTTCATTGGGGAGGGAGGGAGATGAGGTCTGGTGACAATGTTCCAGATCATTTCCAGGTCTTTTTTAGAACCTGAATTCAGAAAAGGAAAGAGAAAAAAAAAAAAAAAAAAAAGAGCCCAGTATTGATGACAGAACTAAGGAGACAGGGACGCTGACATGAGACTGAGACTGTGAATGTCCACATCTTTGGAGCCGAGGTCCTCAAAACCCTCAGAGCAGTTTGTATGGGGGGAGGGAGGGTGAGGGGAGACTTGTGAAAATGCAAACTTGTGATTCGTATTGTCCTGAAGCAGAACTGCCAGTTACTGACACACGCATTGTATATGGGAGGGTAGGGTGGGAATGCATCTTAACCCCTTAAAAGCCTTTCTACCTTTTCTTTTTTTTTTCCATCACAAGGTGCTATTTGTCAAAATCGGGGGGGAGAAAGACTATTGACTATTTGTTCCTTTTCCCACCTTAACTTGACTGTCCAGCCAGCAGCACTGGGAACCCTTCACATTTATCACATGGGAGAGAGAGGAAACCACAAGCAGCACAAAAAAAAATAATAAAAAAAAAAAACAAAATTAATTCCATATTCTCCCATAACAAGTGATTGTTTTTAGGAGGCCAGACGTTGGTGCCGGAGCCAGATGAGTAACCCTGAACCTTCGGAGGGTTTTTTAAAATCCAGTTTATTACAAATAATGACTTATTTAATGTCTGGAATCATGAGCCCCACCAGACTCCTGGCACCTCCTTGTAGGGTGGTATGTATCTAGACTTGCATTGTACAAACCTTTTTTTAAAAGCATGTGTTTAGGTTTCTGTGAAAACGTTGTTTAAATGTAAAGTACGTGTTTGGATTTTAACTTCATACCGAGCTCTGTCAGTTTTTTTGGTCTCAATAAAATTTTAGATTTATAATCCTGATTTTTTTCTTCTCAACCTTGCTCCTTCCTCCAGCTCTCTGTGCGTGAGCTCGGTGTAGAGCAGTGAGGAGGGAAGTTAGCCCTGATGGTGCTGAACGAGGTTAGATCTGGCTGCTGGCTCTCATCTAGGTGTCGACTGGAGCTCTGCAGCAGCCCACGGCTGCATCTTATTCGTTGTGACTGCAGAAGAGACGTGGCAGAGAGGTTGGTAGCTAAAGGCCTGAGTCGAGGAGGCTCCTGAGGGCGAGAGGCATAGCTGTGATCTGGAACCTGTTTGATGGAAGGAGATGCTGCGTGAGCTCCCGGCCGGGACCCGGCTCGCCTGCGGTGTGGGTAAGTGCCCTTTCCTGCACTTCTCATGGGGATGTGGAACAGACGTTGTCACTTTGTGTTTACGGACGGGTTTTTGTTATTTTTAAAGCTCTGCCACTGATTCTGGTGGCTGAAGGTGGAAATGGCATTGCTTCGTTCTTGGTTTGGCCTTACACAAGAGCTTGCAGCCTTCAGTATGGAGGAAGGGAAAGCTGTGCCCCTCTGCTTGGCCCCCTGGCTCTCAATGCCATAGCACAGCCCTTGGCAAGGGCTGAGGTTTCACTGAGAGGAGGACGGGGCTTTCTGGCACACAATTTCCAGCATCCACAGGGTGCGTGACAGAGCAGGGAGCAGCACTGAGGTTTTGGGTGGTGTTCAGCTGCTCTGCCAGTGCCTGCAAAACTATGCAGCCCATTGAAATCCGGGCTATTCGCAGCACCCGGCGGTATGCTGAAATGTCTTCCCTGCACTGGTAGCCAGCAGCAGCAGCAATTAAACTGGTGTTAATCACTGGAGTTGGAAGGAAGAACGTCCACTTAATTGAACAGAAGGAGGCTGCAGCTCCTTGGAGAGGCTCTCAGCCGATTGATGGCCACGGGGGGCTGGAAGCTGAGTGCTGCAGGAGTCTGGAGGATTTGGGGCTCCTGATGGGGCAGAGTATCACCTCCTGAGGTCCTGAGCCCAACTGTCTGTGTGCTGGGAGCTGAGACAGGTCACGGTGGTGGGTTCAGTGCTCAGGGATGGAGGCAGAGAGGCCATGTGGGGCAGCCCAGCACTCCTCAAAGCCAGGGCTCTAGCCGAGATCAGAGGCAGGAGGCCCTGCTGGTGGCTAAGTGCTTCCTGCCTTGGAAAATGAAAGGTCTGCTCACCACCTGATCTGTGCTGGCAGGCAGCCCACACTGCTGACAGTGCCAGGATGTGACAGTGATGCACTGAGTGCTGGCCCCGTGCTGCCCCAAAGGCTGGGGGAGATGGCTGCAGGCAGGGATTGCACCAGGAGCGTTCTCAGCTGAAGGCAGAGCAGGGCTGCTGGCTGGGGTAGAGCAAGAATGGGGGGGATGGCAGGAGCTGGGCCATGGAGATCCCTGAAAAGGAGGACGGTGGGGGATGGCAAATGTTTGGCCCTGGTTCCCAGAGCCTAAAAGCATCCTGGGGTAATGCCTGAGATAAATAGCCCTGGGGCCCAGGAAGAGACTGGAAACCCCCTGTTGTTTATTTTAGTGCCCTGTGGTCCCCTGGGCTGAGCTGTGAGTGTGTGGAGCTGCCCTGGCCTCCTGAAAAGGCAAAAGGGAGACAAACCCATCCCTCCTGTGATCAGGCGAGGGTCAGTCTGGGGAAAATCATACCGGCCCCATGAAGTTCCCAATAGAAGCGGGGCCTCACCTCCCTTTGGGGTACAACGCAGTGCTGAGTGTGCTGCTGCTGGGCTCTGCCAAAGGCAGGACTACAGCACCTTGCTGCCCAAGCCTCCTCTTATTGATGGGCTCCTTTGGTGGTTCATAATCAATTTGGGAATACAGCTCTGTACTAACGCTGCCCCCACTAGAGGCCAGGTGGGGGAAATGTTAGTGGCAATGATGGGCTGGCTGCTGCTGCCTTTGAGCACCCACAGGCTGGGACAGCAGCAGTGCCCACTCCCCCCTGCAGGGCACCACAGAGCTGGGAGCTGTGGCTGAGGGCCCCCACAGGGAGGCTCTTTAGTTTCCCAAACATGTTTCAGCTTAAAAAATAAAATACATGAAACCAAGGCTCGTACAGTGAATAAGCCGTTTTATTTTTTTGTCCTGTGCTCACACAATCTCTCTTCTTTCCCTGACAGGTCACAGATCATTAAAATAAAGTTTCTAAGAGGAAAATAATTTAAAACATACACTCAGGGCTCCATTCCAACCTCCCCAACACCCACATCTCCATCACTTGTGCTTCATCTCATGCGTAAGTAAAGCTGTTGGATCTCAGGAGCGCGGTACAGGAGAGCCCTGCGCAGGCCCACAAAGGCAACACGCAGCCCTCAGCTCTCCCCACACCGCACCCTGAGATGCAGCTCCTTTCCCTGCAGCCTGTTCACATGCCCACACCAACACCTCCTCCTCGGCAGCCCCCAGCAGCATCACTTCCCCCC